TAGTTTCTGAAATTAAATTATAGCAAATATAGGCAAAACAGATGCGACAAAATTAAACGTTTAATCAAATTTATAAACAATGCAAATAATAAATGCGTTCAAAACAGCAATGAATCAAAACCTTGATTAACAAAATATAAGACCGGCTTTTGCTGTTAATGTTAATCGTTGTGACGGATAACTATATTTTCATTGAATACTTATTACGATAACATTGAACGCTATAATTGTGTCAAAAAATATGTTTTTTTGAACCGAAATACATAGGAAAAGGCTATTAAAAGATACCAATATTGAATTACTTTTGCCATTGCATAACATATTTTGTTAACAAAATATTAGTCTTTTATAAAATTAAAGAAACTGTGTATGATTTTCACATCAGAATTATGTTAACCATCAGAATATTAACTAAATTTTTACTTTTTTGTTACATAATTCAATATAATAATAATTACTGAATACGGTATAATTTATACATGAAATTTTGGTTAATACATCAAAATACGTTTAATGACCGATTCTATGACTACAATGTATTTTTAATTATAATTTAATTATACTCATTAACATATGGGATGAATGAATATAAATGTTTATTAATTGAATGGTTAGGTTCAGNAAATATGGAGGAGAATGAGAACGACAAGGAGTCGACTAAAGAAGAGGTCAAATTAGGGAGACTTCAGTTTAAAATCGATTATGACTTCAATCAGGCGAATGTAAGCCTTCCATCACTTTTACATATGCTATCATTTCATGTCATTTGTTATACAAATCAAATTTAAACAAATATGAAATGTGTTGACAGTTAGCCGTATCCGTACTGCAAGCGGAAGAACTCCCCGGTCTTGACATGTCTGGAACCAGTGATCCATATGTTAAGGTATATTAAGTTATTATGTACTTTATAACTGTCTCAGCAAAAAATATTTTATATTACATTTTATACTTTATAAGAGAATTGAATTCTTAATACAATTTCTTATTTTAATGGGAAAATAGGTTTATCTGTTACCCGACAAGAAAAAGAAATTTGAAACAAAAGTACACAGAAAAACACTGAATCCAGTTTTCAACGAAACATTCAATTTTAAGGTAATTGTTTTTGTTGTGTAACTTTATTTTTGATTAATTGATTAATTAATTAATTTTAATTATTATTCAATATTACATTGGTGTTTCATTTATAGGTTCCGTACGCAGAGATAACAACTAAAACTCTTGTATTTGCTGTCTATGATTTTGATCGGTAAATATACCTTTACTCTGATTCTCTCATTTTATAATTAGATTCATTTTTATTTCAATATTTATTTATTACCAATAAAAATATAAATCCAATTTAAAGGCCATATATAATATCGTTGTGTATTTTACCGGAAAAATAATGATTTATTTATGAACTTAAAAATGATAGAATAATATTTAAATATTAGCATAAAATTGTGATGATTATCATTTGAATCGTTTTATATATTTATTTATGTAACAAATGATTTGCTTATTTTATGAATTTAGTAAATTATCTGGGTCATATTTGTATTTTTGTATCATTGGTTGTGTTATTCACTGTAAACATGAATTCTTTCAAATCAAACAAATTGTTTTTGAAAACATTTGAAATCACAGTCTCTTTTGCAATGAGTGGGCGCTTTGGATGAGATTTTAATTCATTATTTATTTTGAAATGAAATACCAAAAATTACTTTATAGTGTATTCTGAATGTAAGGTATTTTATATATTATAAAATAATGTCAATTCTTCTATAGAACTCAATATTAAAGCTAATGAAATATTATGTGAATGTCTTTTGACTTTATATAGTGACGACACAAATGGCAATAAATTAATTGACATTATTTTTCATTAAGAAATCCAAAGAAAACTTAACGTCAATTTATATTAAATATAAATTACAGACAATTTTTTGATCCAAATAATATACAGATTTGAAATTCTTATATTTATACATAACTTACAATCTTTAAAGAATACTTCCCTGTATAACACATTCCTGATATTTTTTGCTTAAACTATAAATTGAATTATAAATTGATATAATTATATAACAATTGTTTTTTACGAATAGGTTTTCAAAACACGATCAAATTGGCGAAGTGAAGATCCCATTAAATCAAATTGACCTTGCACAAACTATCGAAGAATGGAGAGACCTGACTAGTGTGGAGGGTGAGCAGGGACAGGTATGGCTTCAAATATTTATATTCATTCAATACATATCAATACAACACTGTTTTTAGTCACAACACAATTACCATCACGTTTTGTTTTTATGAGTTTAAGTTTTAGTACTATTTATATATTTGAATAGTATTCTTGTTCTGTAGTCGTTATAAGTGTTGTCATTAGATATATATTTCATTGTTATTTCAGTTATTTAAGTTTAATTATCAAACACTAAAACTATTTTTACATTTTATCTCAATTTGTATATTGAGATGTTTATTATGTAAAATAAAATAACATATAAATTAAGAAATAGTTAAATTAATTATAATGTTTAGTCACATGGTGAATATATAGTATATTCGCTGATTGTATACAATCAGAGAAGTACTACTCTCTATTCACTCGTGATTATATGATATATTTAAATTATATTTATATATAGTGTATATTCTGTATAAGTACTGTATATAGTCGTTGTCCCATTAGCTTTAGTGATAGGCGTATTATACTGTATACCGTACTGTTTATAAATGGTGAACAAATATATATATATTAGCCAATAATTGTTAGGTCGATATTTAGGCCAGTGGTGTCATATACGTGTCGCTTCAATATTGTGCCTAATATGCTGTATATGTGCCCGAAATGTGCGCTCGTATTGACTGCCGATCGTGTATGTGATGCATGAGATTGTGATTGCCTTCAAATGCATGACCACTCTATACGTGTGCAACCGATCACTTGAAATGATTGTCAAAATACAACATGTATTGAATGTTGTTTTGCTGTTTTT